AAGATATGTAAAAACAAGCTTGAAGGGGGTTTGGGTATCAAAAATATGTCATACTTTAATATGTCACTCTTAGGAAAATGGTGGGGAAGACTGCTCACAAAGAAACGGCATTTGTGGAGAAGAGTCTTACATGAAAAATATGGGTATAAAGAAGGGAATTGGCTATCCTACTTAGGGGAGGGCAGCTCTAAAAGCTCAAGTTGGTGGAGAGATGTGTGCAAAATAGATGAAGGGGTGGGCATAAAGAAAAATTGGTTGAGTTCAGGTTTTAAAGTGAAATTAGGCAATGGCAAAATCATGAAATTCTGGTCAGATGAATGGGTAGGAGGGAGTACTCTCTCTAACAAATATCCACGCTTGTTTATGTTATCAATAGGTGAAAATTACAACGTGAAAGACATGGGAACCTGGACAAATGGGAGCTAGCAATGGAAATTATCATGGAAGCGTCAATTGCGTCCGTGGGAAGAAGATATGGAAACAGAACTTCTTGAGATGATCAAGGCAACTCAACCAACACAAAACAATGAAGACCAATGGTGGTGGCAACCGAAAGCCTCAGGGAACTATACAACTAAGTCAGCATATGCTCAATTCTTAAAGGGCGACAGTAGACCTGCAAGAGAATTCAAAAGGATGTGGAAGGCCTCCATCCCACCTAAAGTAAGTGTTTTCTGCTGGCAATTACTTCACAAGAAACTTCCTACAAAAGATAATTTAGCAAACTGTGGAATCTTAACGGACAATACAAAGCTAAGATGCTACTGGTGAACACAATACTGGAAACACCCGACCACTTGCTTCTTAATTGTAACTTGGCTTTTGATTTATGGATGAAATGCTACAAGTGGTGGGGCAAGCAATACGTGTTGGGTAATTCATGTATGATGGTATTGGATCAACACAAATGGAACGGAGGCCCAAAATTACTGGATAAAGGGTGGAACATCATCTGGTTTGCAGTGATATGGACACTTTGGCTGGGTAGGAATGACTTGATTTTCAACGCAAAGGAAGCAAAGATAGACAATTTTTTTCAGCTAGTTCAAACTTAATCTTTTTCCTGAGCAAAAAACATAGTAGGAATGGATGGGTTCTCTTTACAAGATTGGTGCGAAAACCCAGCCAAATGCTTGAAGAACAAAGTCAACGAGAAAGAAAGGGTTTGAACTGGATTTTCTGGGACTTTATTTTTGTTTCGTTCTTCGACAAAAGCCGGTGATTAAGAAAATCTTTTCATCTGCTGTTTGTATGTAAGCCACAAGCTGGAATACCCCCAGTATTCCACAATTAATAATTTTTTTGGCATTTCAAAAAACAAAACAAAAAAAGAGAATGATGTATTTAGTTCTTCAAATGCAAGGATTGAAATTGCTTGAGCTATGAACTAGAACTACTTGATTTATGTTTCTTAGACATATGATGACTTTAAAATAAAAGGGTCATATATAAAAAAATGCCATTTACATGGTTATTAAGCCAAAATAAATAGAAATTAGAGATGAGAGATCAAAACATGAAGAGATTAGAGATCAATCAATAAATTAAAAACAAGGATCCTGATTGGTGTACACCCGGATCCAACACCCGGGTGT